GAAAAAAAAAAATTGGAGGTCCCTTTGCTTTTTTTTTTTTTTTTTTTTTTTTTTTTTTTTTTTTGTGTGTGTGTATGTTCAAATATTTGGAAAGCAGCAACTGTTTTTCAGCCGGGCATGAATTCTCAATTATTGACTGCATTAACCCCGTTTTTACTTTCTATTTACTTTTTGGATGTTCACAGTTATTTCATTAAAACTGTTGAAAGCTCAGGATCAGAGGACTAACCATCAGTGGAATATAGAGCCTACTGGTTTTATGCTGTTGACTGAAATTCAGACTGGGGAGAAATTAGCCAGAAGGCATAAATGCCTGTAAGACCCTTCAGCAGTCCAGTCACTTCCTAGTGCTCCTCTGTCTGCACTATGTCGCCATGTTCACAATTTAAAGACCAGCATTTGTCCTTGATTTTTTTCCTAGGAATACTGGGAACAATAATGGGATTGAAAGTAATTGGCACTGGTTTAACTAGTTATTCGTTTTCGTGATGTATCCAACAGTATGATTTCTACTCAGAAAAGTGACAAAAACAGCACTCATGTTTGCCATCTCCTAATGACTGTCTTTAGTATCTGTTAGTTATAAAAGGAGAGATGTTTCTTTTACCTGCCAAACTCACAGATTCAGCCTGGGATCAAAAAGTAATCTGAGTTTTCCTTCGCATAAGTCATGATTAATAAATGTCCTGCAGGTTCATCTACGCCCCACCAGCATCTGTGTATCCCTATTTTCTTTGATGGTTTTGGCACAGGGATTACCAACAGGAACTCAATCAACAATTCTGTTAATGATTCAAAAGGCAAATATATCAGCTCGCTGTCTCGTATGTATTGCCTCTGTAGGACTATCAGGTGCAAAATGTGATAAAACTATTTTTGTAACAGATAGAGCTTTGGCATATTCAGGAAACAGATCTGCCGAGTAAGAAAGAGCTATTTATATACTCAGGTTGCTTTTTGAAGTACTTTCAAAGTCGCTTTATTCTATCTACATTTTACCTGCTCTAAGAATAGAAAGAAGTCTGTTGCCTTCATGTACTGTTAACCAAGCACCTTCCTCACCGTAGCTACATAAATCGTTCCTTAAATAAAAATACATTTGCAAAATCACTCAAATCAAGAATTAAAATCTTCCCTGTTGTACTATGTCTACTATAGTACAGTAATAAGAACAAAGGGAATGATGCCAGCATTGAAGATTATTTTCTTAATTAATTCACACTTAATGTTCCCAAAATAGTAAGATCCCATTTTAATAAACATTAATACAAAGGTGGAAGCTCTGATGACAGACTCTGGCTTGAAATTCTTATATATATATTGTAGCAAGTCATACTTAAATTTAGCATACCTTTTCCCCCATAGATACACCTCCTGATGTAATGATCACATCAGCACGGCTGATACCCTCATTCAGTGCATTCAGTAAATCATCTGGGCTATAGAAAAGAACAGGCAAGCAGATTAGTGGCATGGAAGTACTACGAGTTGTGTAAGTGTCTGTGTGCACACATACAGATGTAGATACACACACACATTTTAAGAAATGGATACAGCTCTAGGATAATATCTTTTCCTTCTTAAGACTCCACATTATTCAAGTCAAGAACTGCAATCTCATTAAGTGAACACCACACTGTTTGGCACCTTTCTGTCTGAGAGCTTTGCAACAGGAACAGTGGGATACTGTAGGTTGGGACTGAAGAACACAAATACAAGTGTCTAAAAGTATGTAATTTGCACAGTAGGCAGCAATACAAATTATGATTTAGATGAACTGACAGGGCTATGTAAAGGAACCTGACACATGAATATTACTGGCCACCAAGCAGGCTGCAGTACTACCTGTCTAGCTTATTTGATGTGTGCAAAAATGGGGGTAAGGCTCCACTTCAAACTTCCATCAGTGAAAAGTGGGAGTAAATCCTGTGTTTATCTTCTCCATTAGAGGGCTCTGCAGCAAAGCCAGCTGTACATCATCTTGAAAAACCACAATCCATCCTGTTCAAGTGTCTATTTACCTTCATGAGAAACAGTGTAAGGGGAGCTGTGGTGTTCCTCCATACAAAGAGTATAACTGCAAAGGTGAAGGATAGAAGCTGAGTATATTTCAGTTTTGGTATCTTAACTCTTTTTTTTTTTTAAGATCTAAACTGGAAACTTTGAAGTAGGCATTAGCTATCTAACAGCAGCACGGATGCTAATACAGAGCTTCAAGGCATGCAGTGGAGAAATGTAGTAATATAACTTACGCAAGACCAAAGGAATCTAAAAGAATTTCCAACATATTAAATGCATACTTTGCATTTAACATTTGTGAACTGACCAGAAGCTGACTGATTGCTACGACTGTATGTAAAGTCCCTTCAATGGTATGTTTTTACTTTAATGATCCTGAAGGTTTTTCATGGGAGGCTGTTGCTTTTTAGAATGCAACTGAATGAACGGGCAATAGTGCTATTAATATATAAAGGACTTTACCTGGAATACAGCACCTCAGTTAAATGCCACGCTACAATTACAAAATGCAATTATGGGTTATCAAGGCTTTGCAGGCTGCAAATGGCATGTGGGCTTTCCTTCAGGAGCTTTGGCTATATTGCACTAAAAGACAGAATCACTGCAGTTATGTTGGGGTTCGAACTGGAAACAGGAAACTAGAAACTATGCAAGTCCTGGTTGACCTTTCAGAGACTAACAGAAACTGTGTGTTTCAAAAGGTCTCAGAAGGAAAAATCCTTTCCTCTGAGCATCCTGTCTTTGCCCATGGTTTAGTGAAATATAAGCAGCAGTTAGCATTACAGGGTGCTCTGCACACTGCAATTTATGTGACACAATTAAGACTGCGGTCCCTCAATGAGTAGATATCTCAAGTGCATGCAACCCTGCACATTCCTCATCTCCTCACCAGAGAGCACTCAAGTGTCCTCTACCCTGGTTATGCCTTACAGCAGAAAGACTTAAGACCCTTTCTCCACCACATCCAGTGACTGATGCAGCATCTTCTTTGGCATCACAGTGTGGTTATCCTGCATAGCTTTGCAATTTGTGTTGGGTGACACCCACTCTTTAGGGTCATTTTGCTTTGTAAGAGATAGGCAACAAACTACAGCAGAAAGAAGGGCAGATTGCTGGTGCCAATAGTGTAGGCTGTAATCAATCAGATAGATAAAATTACATGCTACCATTTTTTTTAAGGAAACAGTGGCTGCAGGTACTGTGGCATGCCTCCATGACTTTTGTTTAGGGTACTGGGTATTTTGGATACTCTAAATGGCCTATAATGAATGGCTGAACTCTGTTTTCTTTGGGAGAAAATATAGAACATACAAACTCAAGCAAAACCATCTCCTTTGCTCTTTAGGCAACAGAGACTTTTTCTCAGCTGCCCCTTCTGAAACCTCCGTATCATTTTATCAAAAGACCAGCACAAGTCTTCACTAGTTGTTGATGGCAAGAGGAAAGAAGCAAGTCTGTTGTTGGCTACTGTCAGTGTGTTCTTCAGAACCAGTTATTTCATATTGATTGTCTAAGTAGTAATCTGTATGGAAGAAGACATTGCTTAAGATTATTATAGAGTTTGTAATAGGAAACGTCTCTCAAGATCTAAGTATTGTTTAATGCTTACCAATGAGGGTGCAGACTGGAATGCAGCAAGGGATACGTATTCATTACACAGGTCTCGACGCTCATGCCACTATTATTAGGCTAAGACTGCTTTCAGTATATCTTTCTCATTAGGTTGTGATGCAGCTGAGGACCTTATCTGGAGTTTGCTCCAGGCTGCTTTATTTTATCTTGCTTCATTATTTAAAAGTTATTCATAGGTAGCAAGACCACCTGTCTGGGGACATCCTGATTCTGGATTATGAAATGTACTTGCTTTTGGTTGTGGTTTGAGAAAAATGGAAGGAACAGTAAAAAGCAAACGAGTCTATATTTAACTGTTGTTAAAGTTAAATAGAATGGAAGTGCTCCTACATACAGAATATGTATATGTGTGTATATATGTAAAATCACTTAACAAAGTAGAAAAAAACAAACCCCAAAAAAGCCCAAACTGAAATCAGGTGAGGACTCAATTCACGCCTTTGTTTATGAGGGTAGCTTACCACTGGAGTAGTTCACCATACAGGTTTTTTTTTATTACATGTCACGTACAAAGTTGAAGATTACTGGACTTGGTTCTTATTTAGCATTTCCAGTAGAATGACCTGTATAATATATCCCTTTCTTTACCATCTGTATAATGTAAGACATTTAAAAATTCTACCACTAAAACTTTGTCCAACCAATAGCGCTGCATATCATCTTTAGATAGTTGTAAAATGCATTGAATTCTTCCAAGATGAAAGATGTGATAGAAATTTTATTTTAATAAACTGCATGATTATGCTAGCTTGGTTTTTATTGCGAAGAAAGGAGACATTTACAGAATTCCCTCCCTTGCCTTTGCTGAAGGTTTCTCTCTTTTTGCCGTATTTGGCACATTTCTTTTTGTCGCTCAGGTCTGTCTAACTTTCTATCCTACTTGAGGCTGGTAGTTCCATGACTCTGCAATTAACACAAAACACTCCTTACAGGAGTCACCTGCTGCAATCTTCAATCAGCACTCTAGCAAACATTCTCCTTGCCTTTAGTGGATTTAGTGCAGAGAGTTATCATACAAATTGCATATTAACACATATTTGACAATGAGATAACCAGATACTACTTCTTGTTTCATTTGTTGTGTAATAATGAGCAGCTTCTCCTTTGGATTGACATGGAAAGGGAATAAATACTTGAAGACTATTAACTTCTGAAAGAATAGACAAAATAGCTTTGGCATCTGAGCATAACAGGACAGGATTGTTCTAAAAGGCCTGTGACAAATCGCCATGAAGCTGAGAAATAACACTCACTGTCTGAGCAGGTACAAATCAGAAGCTATATTCTGAAGCCCTGGCCATTGCTAGGGCCAGGATACTGGATTAGCTAGACTAATGGTCTAATTTACTATGATAAATCCTTTAAAATGTCTTGTGAAAGTGCTATTCTTGGATTTTTTTCCTTCATGGACAGAACTGTAACAGGCGTTCAGATATAATGGTGAATACCTTAATCAATGTAAAGTAGATTTTGATGGGAAGTCTCTTTTCCAGATGGCAAAATTATTCCATTTCATCGGTGAATGTCAAGTCAGAGTGACACTGGGCACAAGGGAGTGTGTTTTTCTAACATGCTGCGATTGATTTAAAAAAATATATTCTGTATGTTGAAGATGACATCCCAGCATCTTCTGTAAATACAACTAAGATAATTTGTTCTGTAAGGATTATATACAGTTTACAAAACTATTTGTATAGGTAAGTAAGCACAAATCAGAACTTTCTCTCAACAGTAAAAATCCCCATCTACAGCAGAAATGTCTGCACAAGTTATTATGTGTATTGTACATACATTTTTGAAGCTGCAGACATAATGCTTTGCATAAGGAGTCTGTGTACTTTTAAGTACATCTTTATATTCTCTGCTAATTTTGCCAGTCTGATAAACAGAGTATCTACTTTACTACCTCAATTTCCTGGCCCTCTTTATTCAGTTTTATGGAACAGAATGAGCAATACGACCTGGAAACTAGTTGGAAGGTATCTGTTGTATGGCAGCAGCAGCATGCGTAGAATCCAGTAAGCAGTCGCATGACACTGCACTTGACATGCCACTTGATTTCACTAATTTGAAGAGAGGGCTTGCACGATGGCAGTATACAAGAACAGGAACACCTTCTGGATTCATGACAAATTCTTGTCATCAAAGCTAGTTCGTGAAAAGCTGTTATGCAGCACTTGATTACTGAGCTGTCTTTGAACTGAAAAGATATGCAAGAGCTTAAGAGCTTGAACAAGAAAATGATGCAAGCCTCATTAAAATAGACATCAGCCATGTAGAAGATTTTTTCCTTTCTCTCCCTCAAAATAAATAGCTACAGTACAGTCAAGACCAAAGAATTCTCTGTGTTTTAAGTGCCATTTCAAAGTACCCTAAATTACAGTGTAATTTTCTCTTTCAAATAGAAATCAACATCTGTTAATTCACTTCTATTGATCCTATTGTTGTGTTTCACTGTCACTAATTATAAATCTGTCAGCCTTTTCTGTGATACAACCCTCAACACCAGCAGTTTGATACATGCAATTAAAATGCTCAGTTTTATAATTTAATTTATAGAACAGATAATAACAAATGATGATCTCCATCACCTACCACTCTGCAATTAACTCTCAGTAAAATGAGTGATCCTTGTAAAATGGAACTGGAACATTTAGTTAGGACTGACTTATCAAGTCACTGTTGCAGTACAAAGCCCATAGTTCATTACTAATTTCCAGCACCATTTCCACCAAATTCTTTGCCATGGTAGTCTTGTTCATTCAAATTAGCCTCACTACCTGACA